CATGTTTTGAGTTTCCTGAGCAGACACCACCTGCTGATGCAAGTGCAGAAACTCATTACATTTCGCCAATGAGATGGAAGCTAACCACCAGAAAGAAAACATTATGGGAAAAAAAGTGCCCACTGTCTACATAATTTATATTTCTTCATTAAATATATATTTATTCCACCCGTCATCTGATGGTGTTGTATCAATAAAAAATAATGGTAAAATCACTTGACAATGATATTCTAAAGCATTATCCATTAGAATTTTCTGAACACCTGAAACCTGGCCAGGGAATCTCAAGCTGGATGCATAATTTACCAAAATACAATGTTAATAATATAAGCAGCTCGTGTAATAATGAACACATGTTTAGTCACTTGGTTCATATCCAAACTAAAACATTGATGCATTTTAATGCACAGATTTTCAAATTAAAGCTTTTGTAAAATGAAAGTTATAATTGCCTTATTGCTACCCATTTAAATTCTAGACTAGCAGTCTGAGAGCCAAAATATTATAATCATGTAGCCAAGCTTTAACCTTTCATTTATTCTAGAATAAACATGTGTGATCCCAATTTGGAACAGGAAGGTTTGATGAATACAGCTTCCCCTCTACCAAACCCCTCGCTACCATTTCCCAGGCATATATACATATGAGTAAAAAAGAACCTTTCCATTGGCATTGTTGGATAATCATTAGTAGTATATTAACTGTCCCCATGCAGTGGAAGTTGCTGCTAAAGAGATTAATTATCAGTCTCCTAAAAGCCAAAATGCATGCACAAGGGTTTGTTATTATGTACTGTCAAGTCATCTCTGACTTATGTTGACCCCATGTATGAAAGCTCTCCAAAATGTGCTATCCATGACAGTCTTGTTCTGCTCTTATGAATTCAAGATAGTGGCTTCCTTTATGGATTCAATCCATCTTATATTTGATCGTCTGCTGTTTCCTAGCAGGATTGTCTTTTCCAAGGTTTTGCCTGCCCAGGGTGTATCCAAAGCATGACAGCCTGTGTATTGTCATTTTAGGGAGAGTTCTGGTTTCTAGGGAGAGTTCTAGTTTCAGTGCAAGGGGGAAGAGATGCAAATCTGATTGTTGGTAGGTGTGGCTTAGCCCATTTCACCTGGCAGGGAAGTTTGACCCAGATCCATTATCTCCCCCAGCAGCTTTCCCACTCACTAGTTCTGAAAAGTGCTATAACAGAAAATGTCAACTAGGAAAAAATGGATGAGATGGAAAGACTTATGTATTTAAAACATGTTTATCTCTGTCTTAGAAAAGGGTACCAGAGCAGCTCACAAAGATTAGTAATAGGAAAGTTCCATTCCTTCAGGCTTACAGTCCAAATATGCAATGCAAAAGGAGAAAAGATTAGGAGGAAGGAGGCAGAAGCGTATTCTGATATTGGTCCTTAGCTGCAAATTTCTCACAACAACCAGCTGCAATGGAAGCAATTCAAGGAGAAGAGGTTCCAAAAATTCTGGTATCTCAGCTGAAATGAGAGAGTGTCTCCAGTCCCTTTGTCTTCCTTGCTTCAGACTGATAGAAGAGCTGTTTCCATCTCAGAGTTGAGAGAGAGGAACTTGATGAAAGTGGTTTTCAGTAAAACAGATAGGGTGGACCACTTGATTTCCTGTCTCTCCCTCTGCTGCAGTGTGATGAGGTGGCTGCTCTCAGGTGAAAATAGATGAAAAAAGGAAACGGATGGAGTAAGGTTAATAGACTGGCCCTTCTTTCCAGCTCCCATTCTGCTGTAGCCTGCAGGTTAAGTCCTTTGTTCTCTTCCTCACCAGTGCTCCAATTGAACCTCCCACATCCTGGCTTACCTTTAAGAGGCTATTCATGTTTTGTTTAGTCGATCATTTAGTTAACTAAACTCATCTATACTTGCAAATCATGTCTAGATTTGCCTTTCATCTACTGGCAGTGAATTGTCAATTCCAAGCTGAAAGTAAGGCTAGGCCCAAGCTTTGACCAGAACTTTGTCCAAGAATGACCTATCAGCAGTTGACTATTGCACACTCCATGCAATGTTATTTGCCCTCTAGGCAACCCATCATGTACTTGCATTACTCAACCAATTAACTTCCACTTTCCCAACTTTGCCATGTAGTTAAATTCCATGTAGTTCTGTTTCCACAGCCTGCCATCCTTCCCACTGCTTCAGCATAAAACGCAGACAGTATGAACACCCTCATTTTGCTTTTTCAAATAGTGAAACAAGGACCCATATACACACCGACAAAACTCATATTGGTGATTCCAAGCCTGCTTCTGTGCAGGAAATTATTGTGCAGAGAAAGCATGAGGGTTAGAAGTCTCATAAATATTAATCAGGGATTAATGAACAGTGGGAGGCCTCTGCATATCAATCTGTATGAAAAGGAAGTTTGCATTAAACATGGTAGTTCTTACATATAAATCACTGGGGAAAACTAAAGGCCCTCTGATATATCACTTGTTGTTCTACTAGAGGCACATTCGTAAAACAGGCTTATACTACATAAACCAAGGGCATAATTTTATGGCACCATTATGAGTGACTGCAAGAAATTTTCCCCAATCTTTCAAAATTAAATGCTTATGAAAAGGTGCCAAATTAATAGCTCTGAAAAATTAGTCTTCTATTCCAATGACAGCCTTGAGCATGGACAGTGTCAGACAGAGATTCTGAAAGAACCAAGCAAGTATAACTTACTTTGGCCATAAGAGGACACTGCTAGTAATATCTTCTGCCAGTTCAATCACTGCCTGCACTGTTTAAGTTTGTCCATGAAGGGTACAATTTAGATTCACCTTTGTGTGGTGGATCACTTATTCTGAAGCAGTAAGAATGCCTCTGAAGACCTTACTCTGAAGGAGTAAGAATCAATATGTATCTTACAAGGTACTGGAATGGCAGCCAGTGGCAAGAAAGTTTGTTCACTATTGATGGAGCTCAAATGCTAAAGATCTCTTTCTAGAGAAAGCTATACCACTTGTTGTTAGTTACAAGTCTAACTACGCAGCCCAGGTGTGCATTTTCTTCTGTTTTCTTTTGTTTAATTGTTGAGTTAAAACTTAAAATTAAGACATTATTGTGGTCCACTGCATTAGGACGTACTGCATGTAACCATCATTTTCAATGGCTATCTTTATATTTGGTTTGCTAATTATTTCCACACATTTCCAGTTTACTTCATTTTAATTTATTCCAGCATTTTTGAGATGGAGCAAAACAAGTTCCAGCAGTCATGGTCATAAACAGAAATAACGATACTTAAAATCTACGTCAGAATGTACCTTAACCTTACTCAGGAAATGTATTCCAACTTTGTATTTTTATTTCGCTGTCATCCTTACTTGACGCTAATCCTCTTTAACCCACTGGCACTATTTGTCAGACTTTCCAGATATATTATCAACAAACAGCAAGAAAACTTGACACTGAGGATCAAAAGGGTCAGGGGCAAAATCTTATATATGTGCAGCTAAGAAAAAGGCTGAGCATTTCACTTGTCCTGCAGTCAAATGTAACAATGTTCTTATGTAGCTGTGAGCAATATTGAAGGGATATGTATAGTAAGGTATTTTTTCAACAGCCCAACTCTGTTGCTTTGTGAAACAATATGAATACAAGTGAATAAACAGTTCTAGTCTTCCTTATTTAAAAGCTTGTGGCAAAGTCCATTCAACCACCAATGGACTGGACACTGACAGGTTTCAGTGGACCTTTTCAATAGCTGTCATTTTCTAGCTTCATCGGGAATTCAGATTCTGGACATGTATGGTGTCAAATACCTTGCAGTGTATTCAACCAACTGATGATGAGGATGACTTTTCTCAGCTTTTTTCCTCTTGCAAGGAACCCATGCTAGGTTACATGGTCCTCCTCTACCCCATTCTATCCCCCAGCAATAACCCTGTGAGTTGGGTTGAGTTGGGCTAAGACTGAGTGACTGGTCCAAAGTCACTCAGTGAGCTTCATGGCTGAATCCAGATTTATCTATTTGTTTGTTTATCTCATTTTAATGCCACACAATAGCCATGGATTTCTGGGTAGTTAACAATAGTCCCCAGTCCAGCACTCTACTTTTCACTCCACACTGGCTCTCCTTAGTGACTTTAAACCATTAACAGCAATGGGAGGCCAGTGTGAACCTCCCATAGTGACATCCAGTGACATTGCTTTGTTCACACACAGTTGAAGGGAATCCCATGTTGCATAAACTTCATATTGTTGACTTTCTAAAGCAACTGATTCACTGCTAAGCATAAAGAAGATTTGTGAATGTAACAAATTAGGCCTTAATAATTGGAAGAAATAGTCCCCTTCTGATATTAATTTCATCAGAATCAAGATAAATATGGGCATAAATATCTAAATAGCAACACATATTTGATGTTCCTGGAAAAAAAGAGAACAAAATGAACTAAAATATACAAGACGTACTGCATAATCACACTAAAGTTGTTTATTCCTTCTAGTTTAAGCAACAGTTATTTAAATTCACATAAACCCAAATTCACTAGAGTTATATACATCCAGAATAGTATACAGTTTTCCCCTATTTGCATGATAAAAGATGTACCAATTAAACTTGGTATGTGCCACTTAAATATTTGTTCTGCTTAAGGTGAATTGTAATTGGAGGCATTTTATCATCAGCATGATAAGTTGTGACTTATATCTGCTTATATCGTGCTAATCACTTTATGATTGCAGTACTCAATTGTAGCTTCCATGTATATACAATAGGTTATCAAAGATAAACACCACTGACATAACATTTTTCTTAAACACACTGCTTTCCAATATAGGTAGTTTACACATTCGACTTCCTGTCATCAAATCTACAGTAACATGGTATAATCTGGTGATCACATGCATTTCAGAAGTAGGCTTCCCATCTGCCGGAGCACATATATCCATGTCACTCTGCAGACTTCTAAGTAATTGCTGCACATTATCCTATCTGTGATATACCTTGGATATTTTGCTTTGATTTTGTCTTTTTTTTCTCTAGGTTTGGATTTGTTCTTCACAAGGATGAGCCTGTGCTTCAGAAAATTGATCTTGAAACTATGTCATACATCAAGACAATTAGTTTAAAGGATTACAATTGTGTTCCAAAGACTCTGGCATACACACACCTTGGAGGATATTACTTTATCAGCTGTAAGCCTGACAGTACTGGAGCTGTTCCCCCACAGCTAATAGTGGACAGTGTTACCGACTCTGTGATTGGATATAATGGTGATGTAACAGGAACTCCATATGTCTCTCCTGATGGTCACTATCTAGTCAGCATTGATGATGTGAAAGGTCTCATGAGGGTACAGACAATTACAGTTAGAGGAGAAATACAGGATGCCTTTGATATTCACACCAACTTGCACATATCTGATGTGGCTTTTCAAGCATCATTTACTGAGGCCCATCAATATAATGCCTTCGGTAGCTCTAGCACACAAACAGATGTGCTCTTTGTAGAATTGTCCTCTGGCAAAGTGAAAATGGTGAAGAGTCTTAAGGAACCTCTTAAGCCAGATGAGTGGCCTTGGAACAGTAAGAACCGGTTAATTGAGGGCAGTGGGCTCTTTGGTCAGTACTTGATGACACCCTCCAAGGAATCCTTGTTTATTTTAGATGGACGACTGAACAAGCTGAATTGCGAAATCACTGAAGTTGAGAGAGGAAACACAGTAATTTGGGTTGGAGAAGCATAAAGAACCATATTAGATAACAGCTGAGTGAATAGTTTTACAGTACGTTGCACTTAACTCCATCCTCTAAATTGTCACTGTTTTCTAAAAAAAAAGAAAGAAAATGCTAGACCCTTCTGTATATGTTTCATGGTTGACTAAGATGCAATTTTGCTTACATAAAAGATGCTGAAATTGTGAATACTATTGATGACAGCCTTAGAGCATATTGGCTAATTGGTGAAAATATTAGAGTTATTATAAGCACCTTCAATACACAAGGAAATGCTCACATCTACCCTCAATACATACCATAAATAATGCCACATTTTAAAATGAAATGTTTTTTAAAGAGCAAAAAATAAATATCACATTGACTTAAATTCATGGAATTGTTAGGTTATGTATAACTCTAGATTTCTTAAACTGAAACATACTGCCCTGTCCTGTCCACTATTTAATCTTTTTGTGCCTTGAAGGGAAATGTCTCATAAGGAAAGAGAAGCCTCGGAAGCATGTAATTGTATTCCCATTGTGGCTACGGGCTTTCTTTCCCTGAAAAGAAGCTTTTGATATCTCGAGTTTTCATCTCCATCGGGTGGTAAAGCATGGTTTTAAGACAAAGGGAAAAAAGTGTATTTGCAACATCTTGTGTTGTCAGTTTTTATTACTACCATCGCAGATACGATCTTTATTAAAGGTTTTAGTTGAAATTCTGCTAACTGCCTATAGAACTTTAACCCCCCTTTTTTGTCGCTTTGTTAGCCAATTAGTTATCTTCCAACCTGTAAAATAGTTGCATCATCAGGGATTTTCAGCTCTACTAAAAAGAAATGTCGTATGTATCTGCTTTGGAGAAAACATGTTTTGTCAAACCAAGACCAAGCTTCACTTACACTGGCAAGAAAACTGTTATTAAAAAAAAAGTCTTACTATAGGTGCATTTTTAAAAAATCTGTATAACAATGGAAAATACACTGCTATCCTACACATGTCTAAATCATAAGCAGACCCACTAAATTTACTGGGTCTAATTCAAAATACATGAGTATAGCATTAGATTCTTTTGACCACAGAAATTAACAACACACTCCTATAAATACTTACTGTGAAGTAAGTCCCATTGAATTGATTCCTTCCTACTCAGGTGCACAGAAATGCGTCCCTCTACCATGTTCCTAAGCCCCTTAATGGAAGTAGGAATGGAAATCAATAGGACTAGCCTCTTAGTAAAGGAGTTTATGATGATAGTAGAGCAAGGTTGTGTACAATATTGGTCAAACACCTGCTTTTCCTCAATACTTTTGATAAAACTCAATAGTTTTTTCTATCCCACTCCTGTCATTAGATTACTACTGCAAGCTGCTGTTTTTTCTATAATGCTTTTAGTTTCATGAGTTACTATTCTAGTTTTACTAATACATCTATATAGGAATAATAAAGATTCTAAAATTTAGAATCATTGTAGCCACTAGAATGAAGAAAAAATGGTATCTGCACTCAACGAAGTTAGCACTATTTTTTTTCTTCAGATTTTCAATAACATAGATGGGTTTTATTATTGCTGTTGTTGTTAGATTTTTAAAAAATCTGGGTTTCTTTAACTGAAACAGTCTATTAAACTGACCTCTGTTTATTTGATGCAATCAAAAATTTACTTTGATTTCAATCCAATGTGTAAAGCTGCTTAGAAATTTGAAATTTTCTAGCATTGTATTTTCTTGTGTGTAATTAGCATCCTGCGCTGTGATACAGTAGAATTATCTTTAGCTTAAGGAAACTGGTGGATAGAGTTAACTAAGTAAAAGAACTGACTTACATTTCTAGCTACTGAATCCTTTTAACAATTTTCCCATTGTGAACAAAAGCAACAACCACCACTGTGTAAACTGTCTGTTATTCAATGATTTAAAGTAGTCCATTTCTTCAACATTTTTCTTCTCTATCTTACGCCATGTGGATGTTCTGTATGTAGAAAATGCTTGATAAAAGAAGAATAAACCCCTTACATTTTAAGTGTTCCTGACTTCAGTTGATATGCCACGAAAGATGCATTGTTGTAATAACCAGAGAAGATTTTAAGGACAATTTTTGAGAGAAAAAGAGTTAAAGGACAAGTGACGTGTATGTTTGATGCTTATTTCCCTTTCAGCAGCAACTCTGTATCAATTATCTTTTATTTTCAAAACTTACTTTAAAAGAGGGTCACCGTGCATGTAACTGATCTGATTTCAACAAAACATTGGACAACCTTCCCCATTGTAACAAACTGATGAAGGACCCAATACTTTGCTTTTTTTGGCAGAAAAAAGTCATCAAATCCCTAGCATTTCCTAGCTAGCATTTTCCCAGGATTCCCCAGAAGAATGCTGAGCAACGTTGCAAGTTGTGAAACTTTTTTTCCTGACTTAAAATGCATATAATTGTACCTCAAGGCACTGATGACCAATTGAACAATTGTTGTTGGTTTGGGTTGGTTTTTGTTTTGTTTTGTTTTGTATTCCTCAATCTTTTAATATTTATACAACAGGCAACTGCATGATCCCATAAACTTCTTTGGCAAGTTACTACTCACTGAGAAACACAAACCAGAATCCTCCTTCAGCATATGAAATTACTTGTGATCTTCTCTGGATTTTGGCAATGTACACTTTTTTGTTTGTAAAGCTTCAAACCCAAGGCATTTGCAACTAGAAACACTGAAGGGAAGCATCAGAATGAAGAGAACATAAATTAGAAGTTTTTGCATACAAATTTCTATTTCTCTAAATGTGTTGTGTCAGCATACAGATCCTTAACAAGTCCTGTTTGCAAGTGTCATATGTCCAATTTGTAGTAATGTCCAAGCAGTTTGAGGACTTTTATTCTGATAATTTTCGCTTGGCTCTCAAATAACCCCAAATCCAAAATAAACACTGGGAATAAACTTCACTGCTCTTATTCCACTTTCTGGGGAAATGTTGCTACTCTTCTGTTGCCACTATTCTATTTCTATGAACCTTTTAGTTTAAGCATCACCAGAGTGGAACTCATCTTTCTGTGGCTCTTAAAATTGTTCAAGCATCTAAGGGCTCTATCCCACTGGGTTGCTCATAATCCCTTGACTTGATGACGGTTTATGGGCATCCAAGGCACAATGGAAGAAGCTGCAGAGATGAGTTGTGTCCATATCATCATCATCATGTAAAGGCCCTGATGGGTTACACCCGAGAGTACTTAGAGGGTTGGCAGGGATTCTCTCACGCCCGCTGGCCTCCATTTTTGAGACCTCGTGAACAACGGGTGAAGTTCCAGAGGACTGGAGGGTGGCATCAGTGGTCCCGGTTTTCAAAAAGCATAGTAGAAGGGACATGGGGAATTATAGACCGGTTAGCCTTACATCCATTGTAGGAAAAACAATGGAAAGGCTCATAATAGAGAGAGATCTAGTGATGCTAGATAGGGAAGGGAGGCTGACAGCCACACAACACGGCTTCCGCAAAAACAGGTCCTGCCAGACAAACCTTGTGGAATTCTATGACAAGGTTTCACGATGGCTAGATGGAGGGGATGCAGTGGATGTGGTATACCTGGATTTCAGCAAGGCCTTTGACAAAGTGCCCCATGATATCCTGGTGGAGATATCCTTTGACAAAGTGCCCCATGATATCCTGAGGAGTTTTGGGATACACCAAAGCACTGTCCAGTGGATTAGGGCATGGTTGACTGACCGAAAGCAGAGGGTAACCATTAGTGGGGAATCATCGGGATGGCGGCCAGTAACAAGCGGGGTCCCCCAGGACTCTGTCCTGGGGCTGATCCTGTTTAATCTTTTCATTAACGACATGGAAGAAGGGGTGAACAGTCTGCTGATCAAATTCGCAGACGACACTAAAACTGGAGCAGTGGCCACAACTGAGGAGCAGGTACTCCAGATCCAAAAGGATCTGGACAGACTATGGAAGTGGGCAGGAGACAACAGGAAGGCGTTCAATGTGGATAAGTGCAAGGTCTTGCACTTGGGGCATAGGAATAGCTGTCATACGTACAGGTTAGGTGACAAGTGGCTGGAGAGCAGCACTTGTGAAAGGGACCTCTGGGTACTGGTTGACTGCAGGCTAAACATGAGTCAGCAGTGTGATGTGGTGGTCAAGAGGGCGAACGCCACCCTTGGTTGCATAGCCAGAAGTGTGGCTTCTAGATCAAGAGATCTACCACTCTACATGATTCTGGTGCGCCCGCAATTCGTGTTCAGTTTTGGGCCCCTCATTACAGAAAGGATATAGCCAGGTTGGAGTCAGTGCAGCGTAGGGCCACAAGGTTGGTGGCCAGTTTGCAGGGGATGCCGTATGAGGCAATACTGAGGGAACTGGGTCTCTTCAGCCTGGAGAAGAGGAGACTCAGAGAGAACGACATACAGATATGTGAGGGGATGTCACATGGAGATGGGTAGAGACCTGTTCTCCCCTGCAGAGGAAGGCAGGACACGCTCCAATGGAGCAAAGCTCAGGGAGCCAAGGTTCCATTTGGATGCCAGGAAGTACTTCCTGACAGTCAGGACCCTGAGGGTGTGGAATGGGCTTCCACGAGAGGTCGTTGAGGCCCCATCAGTGCGGGTGTTCAAGGATAAGATGGACGTCCACATGGTGGGCATGTCGTGAGCGGAGCCGGCTGGTGCCGGAGGTCAGACTAGATGGCCCGGGAGGCCCCTTCTGACTCACTCTGTTTCTATGTTTCTATCATCATCATCACTTCTTTTTCAACAAAGCTCTAGTTGGTAGATTTAGCATGTCTAGTTTGTTTGTTTGCTTGCTTTAAGGAGACCTGCCTAACATAAATCCTTCTTTGTACCAACATTTCCCATCCTTGCCTTCTGCCTCCTATTGCATGCCCTTCTCAGTCAGTCTCTCTCTTTCCTTCCTTCCTTCCTTCCTTCCTTCCTTCCTTCCTTCCTTCCTCACTTTACCTTTTCCATGTTTGCTTCTCTTACCTTCTCTGCCTAGCTTTCTGCACCATTATTTTGACAGCTGAGGTAGAAATGTCCA